ACAGCTCTGCTGAGGCCCATGTGTGTACACACGACCCTCACAGCTCTACTGTGGTCTATGTGTGCTCACCTCTAGCACTTTCACCAAGTGTCTGTATCTGCCAATGCCATGAGTAGGCTTTGTCCTGTAGTGCCGACTGGACCTCAGTACAACACCACCTAAGGGAAAACAAGACAAATCCAGAGACAAGGAACATACGTATTAAGGTAGTTCTTGTTTATCCACAGTTTCCCTTTCTTTAGTTCCTACTAATTAGCTTTCTTTGGGAAAGTCTCTCCTGAAAAGTCAAAGGTGGTCAAGGGAACAAAATATATTTTAATGAGACTCTCATTTCTTCTTGTTCCTCAACAAGCAACATCTTTTGACATTTTTGTTTCTTGGTTTATTTGGTTTTGTTATTGTTAGTTTTTATCTATCTATCTATCTATCTTTGAGAGCAATGGCTCAGCAGGTAAGGGTGCTATTGCCAAACTTGATGGCTGAGTTCCAACTCCAGGACCCAGATGTAGAAAGAGAGAATGAATCTTGAGATCTGTCTTCTGTCATCCATATGTGTGCACACACACACCACAGACCACAAATCCTCCATACATACATACCTCAGACCATATTTTTCTTAAGATAGGATTTCACTTTGTAGCCCAGGCTAGAACTCACTATGTGGCCCAAGATGGCCTGAAACTCATAGCCTTCACTCCTCCTCCCTCAGCCTTCAAAGCGCTGAGATCACAAGTGTAAGCCACCACTCCCAGGCCTATTTGAGGTTTTCTGATGAAGACTACGGAGAAAAGGAAGCAGGCAGAAAAAAAAAAAAATCAGGAATTTCTATGAACTTTAAGAAATCATGCAGTACTGTACACAGCTCAGCTGCTCACCACTTGCCTAATACTCCCAATTCAAGTTTGAGCCCAGCTACCACAAAGAAACAAAAAAGTGTGATTTATTTGTGTTTATAGCACAATATTCAATATATATTTTAAGTGAACATCGTCCCTCCCAAATCTAGGTTTAGGTATATATGCCATTATTAAGAAAAAGCGGGGACTTTCTACACATGCATACTGCAGTGGGCTCAGCAGGAGGACTCACTGCCAATATCTTGCTTTCAAACACACACACACACACACACACACACACACACACACACATACACACACACATTTTGTTGGTTTTTCTAGTCTCTTTGAGTCATCATTCTTATTTTTATTCATAAATAAAAATAAAATGGCAGTGTGATGGTTAGCATTAACTGTCAGCTTGACAGGACTAGAACTACCAAAAGAGCAAGTCTGTGAGGGGTTTTCTAGATTAGGTCAACTGGGTGTCACCATTCCATGGCTTGGGTTGGAGGGCTATACTAAAAAGAGAAAGCTGGCTGAGAACTGGCATTCATTTCTCTGCTTCCTGACTGTGTAACAGTGTAACCAGATGTCTCTTGTTCCTTCCACCATTCCTTCCCCACCATGCCAGACCATGTACCTTCCAACTGTGAAACAAAGCAAACTCTCCCTTACTTAAGTTGTTTCTTGTCAGGTATCTGCCTGGAACAATGAAAAAATTAACTAATACAGGTAGTTCACAAAATTTGGTGAAATGACCAAGTCATTCTATGTATGAGGTAGAATTACCACTTACACTTGGGTCTATTGGACTATGAAGTTCATGCTGATAACCACTAGGTCATAAGATTTGACTATCTATAATAATATACTAACTATAATATAACATAATAACATAGTCTTCACAGGCAAATAAGAGTTTTTTAGAGGAAAAATGAAAGATGAGTGTTATAGTTGAAAAAATAGCATATAAAGAATAGCATGTAGGGCACATGCAGGAAGCAGGAAGCCTGTGAGTGTGGCTGACGTGAAGTGAGTGGGTCCTACTGAAGATATTACAGGGCTGAAACCAGCAAACCTGGGCCTTGTTAAGGGTTTGGATCTCATCATGAACAGCAATAAACAAATAAATTATATTTATGTTATTTTTAAATGATTTGTCTTTATTTTGTGTATGAGTATTTTGTTTGCATGTATATGTGTACCACATGCAGTTACTACCTGCAGAGGCCAGAAGAGGGAATTAGATTCCCCTGGAACTAGAGCTAAAGATGGTTGTGAGTCAAGTCTTCTGCAACAGCAGCAAGTGCTCTTAACTTCTGGTCCATTGTTCCAGTCCCATTATGTTTTTAAATGTTTGTTTCAGTTGTTGTGTGGAGGGAGTGGGAAGGAGTACACACAGAGCATTAGTTACGCGTCGCTAGGTGTCACTGTTCCTGATTACACCCTCATAGCTTTACTCCACCTCTACAGCCACAATACAGTCCTTCATTTATAATTTATAATTATTACTTTTTCATTAATTCAGTCATTTATCTATTTTATACATGTAATTTTTAGAAGCATTCACTATTGGCCAGATACTATACAGTCAGTCCTGAATGAGGTAGAAAAGGGTTTTGTTATATTTTTTAATGCTTGATGGCTTTTCACTGTTTGAAGATGACATTCCTTAGCTAAGCATTTTAAGGACCTTGACTTTATAATCCAGGTAAAATTACTTTATGTCATCTCCTATTCTGTAGGTTCTACTGGCAGTCTACAGAGTCTTGTAGCTACCATGTCTTGTAGCTACCATGTCTTTGATGAGGGGCTGTCACTCTCATCTTGGTGACATTATTCTGTAGCCGTAAACACACAAAGATCAAGAGATCAGTTTCAAAGTTAGAGCTCCCTCATACCTGCCTGAATTATATAATAAAACATAATTTGTAAATTAAAAACCCAGATGCCAATCATCGTGCTTAATCATAGAGACATTCAATTATCCATCAGTGACTTCAAAAAGTAGACAGGAAACTGATCTTAGAGATGATGATGCAGCTTAAGTTGCAAGGGTTGCAAATGCTTGCCTCAGTCTCTCCTCTTCAGGAATTCCTTGGCAAGGAGACATTCTTAAATTCAGTTTGGGGTAATTCCTATAATTAGAGCAGATGGTAATTAAAAACCTGGCTTAAACTACTGTTAAATTAACCATTTCTCCCTTAAATAAAACATTTGGGTCAAACTGTTAGTAGTTAAGCTGTTTAATTAGCCAGTTGTTTTTACTGTAAAATGTGTAAGTTTGAAAGCCTCTTATTCTCAGTAAATTCAATTGGGTTCTTTGCCTCTACCCTGTGTCACTAAGTTGAGTTTCCTGTTGTCTCACTAATCTCCCAGCCTCCTGAGAAGAAAGACTACTCTTCACTGACAAAGACACAAAACTGAAGGCGTAAGTCACAAACAATCCCACACCAGTTTGGAATTATGATTAAAAGAATGGTTATTTATTTAAAGGGGAAAAACTTACAGATCACCGACCCAGACAACAGCCCTCTGCGTGATCAGGAAAGGAGTCTAGGAGCCAGAAGCAGAGCCGGAGGCCAGAGAGAGAATGGAGGACAGCCGCTGCTTATTTAAAGAGAGAGAGACCACACCCCAATGGGCTGGTATCTCAGCAGCTATTGGCTGAAGGAGCTGAAGGAGCTCCCACAGCACCTCTCCCTTTTGTTTAAGTAAGAGAGTTCTAAACCTACTACAAAATTATATACAATAAGTACAAATATCCTATTTTAACAAGCTTAAGTCTTGTATAATAAATAACTTGGACAAGTCATGAGAGGAAAGTAACTACATTTATATAGTCTTCAACCCCATCCAAAAACTGAGAAGGGAAATAATGTTACCTGAATAATTAGGAAGTCCAATCAAACAACTTCCAAAACATGCAACAAATCACAGAGACAACTGGCTACCTGGGCAACCACCCAAAGTCACGTTTGCAGCATTGAAGCAACCAACTTTGGCTAAGGCCTGACGTAACTGACATACCATTTTCAAAGGTAAGAAACTTTTCAAAACTATCTTACCCTGTCTTGGCAGGATATGACAGTCCCGTTTTATCCATTTACGGATACACTGTATCTCTGTCAGTAGTTGAGGTATGGGCATTTCTTTACCCAAAGGCCAGTTCTGCCAAGAAGAAAGGCTCCAGGTGACGTGTCTTTGGTGCTCAACATTCTCTAGGGAATAGATTGATATTGCCAGGAGCAATTTTGTCTCACTACCATGGAACTCTGAGTTAGATTAAAGGCCATTTTCTACAGCTCTTTGAAGAGGTTAAAGATTATCTATCTATATTGAATATAATCTCTATGTATCTAAAGAACCTGATTAGTCTAATTATAAATAACAAACATAAATGACTATTAATCTATATAATTCTCAATACCTATCTAACTTAAAGACTAAGACAATAAACAACTGTGCAATAAATGAGGACAATATGACCTCCAAATGTAAACACTATACAAGTATACATTGCAATATGGTAAATATATATAAATCAATACAATATATATATCAATACATAAAAATGTTTTAAACAGAGGTGGAAGCATGCATACAATAGTCAATATAATTTAACTTTGTATCAATATATTTGTCTAAAAACAGTAACTCACAAGTACCAATCTATTATCCCATCATCCAATTATCCCTCTTTTTTTTTAAAGATCCCTGAGCTTATAAAATTCCTCCCCCAACCCTCAACCATATACTAATTATAATCAACGCCTAAATGATGTCCCTAAACCCAAGGACAAACTTTACTGGGAGGGGGGACGTCATGGGCTGTCATGGGGGCAACGTTCTTTCTGGGAAATCCTGTGAAAGTAAAATGATGGTTAAATTTCAAGATTAATGTCTGGTAAGATTGCAAATAGTCTCTATGAGTTCAAGGACAGCCTGGTCTACAGAGTTATTCCAGGACAAAGATATACAGAGAACCTGTCTCAAAAAAGTAAAAGTAAAAACAAAAGAAATAGAGGTTATAGTAAAGCCACATAAAGATGGAAAATACACAGAGAATCGTGATACTGTACGCTATTATACTCTCTTTGAATTATTTGAATGCTGAGGAAGGAGCAACAGCTGCTAAAAGATATTTGCTTATAAATGCTGAACTAATCCAAGATAGATATTTTAAAAATAATTTGACTTCAAAATTGAAGTCAAAAGGTATGTTATTTTGGAGAAGAGAATTTGCTTTTGTTTCCACAGGAAATAAAAGACTGTAGATTCATTCTGAATTAAGAAAAATCCAGTTTGATCAAAGAAGACCACCTGAGAAGTCTCCGGTAGGAACAGATGGCCTGGATGTCTGAGTTCTACATCCAGAACAGATTCAAGATGCTGCCTTAGGTGATCAAGACTCACAGGATACTCCAGTCAGGACTTGATGATAATTCTAAATTTTCTTTAGGTCCCCATAAGATTATCAGCACCCCCAACCAGCGGGAAGTAGCCTGGAAAACTACATCCACATTCCCCAAAAATGGACTATGGATATTTTCCTTTGTTTTTTTTTTTTAAAAAAAAAAAAGAGGGGGAAGTGATGCGGGAGAATTGTCTGTACTCTGATAATCATGTTTTAAATAAATGCTGATTGGCCAGGCAGGAAGTAGAGGTGGAGCAAAGAGAACAGGAGCATTCTGGGAAGCAGGAAGCTCCCTCTGGCAGTTCTGCCCAGGCCACTAAAAAAGCAAGATGTAATCTGCCTGGCTGAGAAAGGTACTGAGCCATGTGGCTAACATAGATAAGAATAATGGGTTGATATAAGTTATAAGAGTTAGCAAGAAGCCTGAGTTAATGGGCCAATCAGTTTTATAACTTATGGAGATCTCTGTGTGATTCTCTTTTGGACTTGCTGGTTGTGGGGTACTGGGTGGGACAGACACCCCAACAAGCAGTCCCTCTTGTTACACAAAACCCCGTTTTCAGATTAAAAATACTTCATTTGCCACAGTTGTAAGATGTAAACCCATACTGATTTTTCCCCTTTCCTCTGTCTGTTCCACCACAACTGTCTTTCAGAATTTTTGCTTACTAACAAGGGAACCAAACCTGTCAATCTAGGATAAGATAAACAAGTCTGTTGTCATCATTTCTCTTTAAAAATTGGAACAAGCATTTTCAGCATGGCATGCAGGTAGAGAAAGGGGATGAAACTGGAATAGCATCAGCCAAGAATCTTATTACAGCATATTCTCTTTAGTCAATAGAGTCAAGTCCCCCAAGGACAGAAAAAATACTAGCACCTGGGAAACACTATATGCTCAATGTAAATTTAAAAAACAAAACAAAAATGGTTCTATACATATTCTACCAAAGTGGTCTGTAATGATTTGTTCCTAGTAGCTGCCCACGTTGTTTTCTCAAGATCTCTTTTTGTCCTCCCCTCAGTGCTTCTTAGACCTGAACACACCATATTCCTTTCTATCTTTCGCTCATGCTGTGGTCAGAGCACTCTGAGCTCCCTTCATTTACTTTCTTTTATATATTTACTTTGAACTACCATGTCCAAATAAGTAAGAAAAAGAGAGTGACCATAAACAGGCCTTTCCTTGGACAAAGAGCAGCTGAGGTGGTACCCAAAGTCCATATATTAAGTGGGTGAGGGTAGAAACAAGGTACTGTTCTTTATTCTTCTGAACATAATTTTGAAATTGTATACAGCCTGCATTGGCTGGAATTAGGTATATAGCGAGGATGTCCTTGACTGATTGATCCCACTGTCTCCATCTCCTAGGTGCTGGTATTATAGGCACATACCACCATGACTAAGATGCTGAGGACAGAATCTAGGGCTTTGGGTATGCTAAGCAAGCACTGTGCCTACTGAAATATAACTCCAGCTCCAAAATGGAATACAGCCTCATCATCATGCCTGCCAGGTGTGATGACACACACCTATAAGTTCAGCACATAGGAGGCTGAGACAGAAGAAACTCTTTAAGTTTAAGAACAGACTTGGCTACATAATAAGTTAAAAGGCCAGTCTTTGTCTCAAACAAATCGTAGGGTAAAGGAGATCTAACTAAGCATGAAATAAAACTTAGAAATCAAAGATTAATAAATTTACTTATATGAGAATGTAAAACTTCTGGTCATTAAAAAAACAAAGTCACTGGGTAGTAGTGATTTTGGCACATGCCTTTGATCCCAGCACTCAGGATGCAGAGACAGGCGGATCTCTGTGAGTTTGAGGCCAGCCTGGTCTACAGAGTGAGTTCCAGAACTGGCACCAAAGTTACAGAACACCACCACCAAAACAAAACAAAACAAAAAAACAAAAACAAAAAAAAATCATGGCACAGCTGACTGGAAAACATAAAGTATATAAAATAAAAAAGTGCTAATTGTCTATTAAAAGCTTTTACAGGGGCTGGAAAAACAACTTCACCATTAAGAACACTGGCTGCTTTCCAGAGGATTCAGATCCAATTTCTAGCACTCCAGGCAGTAACTGCAGTTCCAGGGGAGCCATGGCCCTCTTGGGTTCTCTCTCATTTCTCCTTAACCAATGCTTATCAATTTTTTTCTTTTCTTTTCTTTTTTAAAACTTTTTTAAAAAAAGTATTGAAACCACTGGGCACTTGTGGTGTGTGTCTTTTTAATCCCAGCACTTGGAAGGTAGACACAGGCAGATCTCTGGGACTTTGAGGCCAGCCTGGTCTACAGAGCAAGCTCCAGGACAGGCTCCAAAGCTACAGAGAAACCCTATCTCGAAAAAACAAACACAAGAACAACAAAAACCAACCAAACAAAAAAGCTGCAACCTTTTAAGAGTTTTTCTTTTTTTTTCTTTTCTTCTGAGAGGGGTCTCACTATGTAGCCCTTGATGACATACAGCTTTCTATTTAGACCCGATTGGCTTCAAAGTTGGAGAAACTCTACTGCCTTTTTCTCTCAAGTGCTGAGATAAAAGGCATGTGAGATCACACCACTCTACCTGGCTGACATATGATCTTTTAAACTTTCTATACTTTTTAATCTTACAAAATAACTAATAAAATTACCTTCTGACAATTTTTTTTTGATTTATTTAGTCTTCAACTTGTTAAAAGTAATGTTGGGTCACAGATATAGTGAGTTACAGTACTAAACTAGGGTCCTCTGCAGGAGCAGCATACATTCTTAACCATCTCTCCAGCTCCAAGACAATAATCATCTTCATGTTGGGATGATAGCTCTGTCAATGAAGTGTTAGTCTTGCAAGCATGAGGATCTGAGTTCAGGTGCCTAGTGTTCACATAAAAAGTTAAGCACTAGTCAGGCAGTGGTGGCACACACCTTTAATCCCAGCACTTGGGAGGCAGAGACAGGAGGACCTCTCTGAGTCTGAGGCCAGCCTAGTCTACAAAGTGAGTCCCAGAATAGTTAGAACTGTTCCACACGAAAACCATTGAAAAATCAAAAATAAGAATAAAATAAACATAAAAAAATTAAAAATTAAGCACTGCAGCACAACCTCCCTCCCCACTAGTGAGGAGCGAGAGGGGAAGACAGGAGGGTCCCTGGGACTTGCTAACTAGTCTAGCTGAAATCAGTGAGCTTCAGGTTAAATGAGGCACACTCTCTTGAAATTGTACACAAATTGAGGAAAATAGTTAACACCAATCTCTGGCATACACACATAAAACACACACACACACACACACACACACACACATGAAGCTGGTATTTGGGGAATCCTAACTCTGGGTCTAAAACTAAAGCTGTGTCTGTCCACTTCTGCAACCATTCTAATTATTACCATATTTAAAGTCTCTTACATATTGTCTTGCGCACTATGAGTTCATATTTGTTCTTTTTCTTATTCCTTTATCTCTGGTACTCATTAGTTACATGACAAACAGCTGTTGAGAGCACAAAAGTCTTGTGCTCACAGACAGCACCAGGGATGTTAGACACACAGGGTCTTCAAGGGAAAAGATGTACAACATGTTTTCTGCCCAAATGACTGGGAATGGAGGTGGCTAATAGCCTAGGAGATTCTTGCAATATCTGTAGGGCCAGACATGGGGCATGCCTTTAATCCCAGCACCTATAAACTCAAGGGAAGAGAATCTCTAAG